TATATATATATATATATATATATATATATATATATATATATATATATATATATATATATATATATATATATATATATATATATATATATATATATATATATATATATATATATATATATATATATGGTTATGGCGGATAATGGAGCAACATCCTTCCAAGTTACATTTCTCAAAGGAAGTACTTATGATAATTGGTGTATCAAAATGAAGTATCTTCTTGGAGCATCCGATGTTTGGAAAGTTATTGAAAGAGTTTATAAGAAAACACAAGACGAGGATTCCTTAACTCAAATACAAAAGAATGTTTTGAAGGATACAAGAAAGAGAGACAAGAAAGCTCTTTTCCTTGTTCACCAAGCATTCGATGAAGATGAGTTTAAGAAAACTCAAATGCAACATCCTCTAAGGAGATGTGGGAGAAGCTCCAAACATCTTACAAAGGAGAAGACAAACTAAAGAGGGTGTGTCTCCAAACTCTAAGCGGTGAGTTTGAATCCTTACATATGAAAGAGTCAGATTCAATTTCCGAATATCTTTCAAGAGTTATCACTATTTAAAATCAATTAAAAATAAATGGTGAAAAATTATAATATTTGAGAATTATGGAGAAGATACTCTTCTCATTAGACCCCAAATTTAAGCATATTGTTGTGATAATCGAGGAAACAAAATATTTAGAGACTATGACAATAGAGAAACTTCAAGGATCATTACAAGCTTATGAGGATGGACATAAGAAGAAGAAAGAGATCACAAAGAACATATTCAAGATGCAATAAAAGGAGAATGATGAAACTCAAGGAAATGAGAGATGCCAACAGATTTGATGAGTCGTTTGCTTGGAGGCTATAAGACTAATAATATCTCTATCAGCCTAACATAAGTGGAAAGTCCTCCAACAGGATGTTAAGTCTACCTTCTTGAATAGAGTTTTATAGAAATAATTATACATCGAACAACCTTTAGGTTACAAAGAAAAAGGACAAGAAGATAAAGTTATTTGGCAAAAAAAGGCATTATATGGGATAAAGCAAGCCCTAAGAGCATGGTACTAGAATTGATAACTACTTCAAAGCAAATAATTTCACAAAGTTACCACACGAGCATGTCATGTATGTCAAGAATAAAAATGGAGATATATTAATTTTTTGTATATATGTGGATGGCTTGATCTTCACAAGAAGTAATCCACATATGTTTGAAGAATTCAAGTAAGTTATCATCAAAGAGTTTGAGATGACTGATGTTGGACTAATGTTATATACTATATTAGCATAAAAGTAAAAAAGAAGGAAGAAGAGATTTCATTTCCCAACAAAGATACACAAAAGAGATGCTCAAAATGTTCAAGATGGATAGTTGCAAGCCAATTTATACACCAATAGAGTGTGGATTGAAGTTATCAAAATGTGATAAAGCAGAAAAGGTTGATGCTACATATTTCAAGAGTTTAGTTAGGAGTTTATAGTATTTACATGCACAAGACCAGATATTTTGTATGATGTGTGGTTCATTAATCGACATATAGATAATCCACCTATTACTCATCTCAGGCTGCAAAAAGAATTCTCCGCTACATAAAAGGTATAATGCATTTTGGCTTATGGTTTTTGTCTGATAAGGACTATAAGCTAGTTGATTATAGTGACAGTGATTGGGTTGAAGATAGAGATGATCATAAGATTACTAACAAATTTGTATTCTTCTTGGGAAATTAACTTTCACTTAGATGTCGAAGAAGAAACAAATAATCAAACTTTCAACTTGTGAAGCAAATTACGTAGCAGACACATCATGTGTCTGCCATATTGTATGGATTATGAATCTTTTGAAAGAACTGGAAATGTCACAAGAGGAACTGATTAAGATTTGTGTGGACAACAAGTTAGCCATAAGCCCATAGCTTTTGCAGAGAATCATGTCTTTCATGACTGTAGTAAACATATTGATACACATTATCACTACATAAGGGAATGCATAGAGAGAAAAGACGTGCAGGCTGAATACGTGAATTCTCAAGATTAAGTAGTTGACATCTTCACAAAACCACTTAAGCATAAAGACTTTATCAAGTTAAAAGGCTTACTTGGAATGGCAAATTAAGTTTAATAGAGGGTGTTGAATTATAAACATGATTTGATCCATTGGACTAATAATGTGTTATGCTCATTTGTTTGTACTCGTGGTATAGTCCAAAAAAAATTCTAGAGAAATGTAAAATTAGATTAATGGAGTAATAATAATAATACTACATACAAGAAATAGAGAGAAGCATGTAGAATTCTCTCTCTCTCTCTCTTCCCATCTCTCACTCTTAGAGTGTGATTGATTGAGAGAAGAAATTGAGAAGAGAGAAAGAGGTGAGAGAGAGAGTGTGAAAAGAAAGAAAGAGATGAGAAATAGAGTAGATTTGATGAGTTGTTTGATTAAGAGAAATAGAAGAGAAATAGAAGAGAAATAGAAGAGAAAGAAGTGTGTTTAATTTTGAAATGACTAAATTATCCTTATATTAATAATTGATTTATTTTTTATTTGATATGATATAATTTTTATTTAAATTAATTTTTTAGTTATTAATAAACTAAATAAATTTTCTTTATTTAATAATTAATTAACTAAATTAAATATTTCTATTTAAATATTTGTGTAATTGTTATTTTATTTAAATTAATACTAAAAAATAATTTTATTTCATATATTAAATATAAAGAAAGGACAATATAGTCAACAATGTATATGTTGAGCTTTCTATCCTCCTTCTTCCCATTTATGAAGAGATTGTTCATCCCATGTTATTTATTCTCTTGTCTCAATTTCTCTTGTCCTCCGATCAAAAGAAATGTATTCTTTCACACTAAGTTCTCTCTTCACTATTTCTCTTAAATTGTCTAGAATATTCTATGGTGTATGTAAAAATTTCCTTTATATAACTTATAAATAGGAGAAAATTTATTATTCGTAAACCAACTAACTAAAAGCAAATAAACTATCTTGTAAAGTATCCCTCAAAAATATAAATTATCATCTCCTACCAATTCTTCATAAAATCTAAATATAACTTTTTTTCCTTTTCCAACAAAATTGTTTCAGAGTCCGCAAATATATGCATAAAAATATGGGGGGCACAAAGAGAACTTTTTTATTTAAATATAAATAAAATTTAATTTATCTTACCCCCATAAAATAATAGGTGTTGTTTATCTGAATCAATTTTTTAAGAAAATAAATGTTGACATTTATAAGAGATAAAATCATTTTTATTTTTTAAATAAACTTAAAGAAGTTGATTTTTTTATTAGATAAAGAGATATGATTGTTTCTCCAATCTTTTGTAAGGATTTTTTTAATTCATATATATATATATATATATATATATATATATATATATATATATATATATATATATATATATATATATATATATATATATATATATATATATATATATATATATATATATATATATATATATATATATATATATATATATATATATATATATATATATATATATTATATATGAAAATGAAAGAGTTTTAAATATACAACAATGCTAAGCTAACATTCATTTCTATACTAAGTACTTATATCTTATACACCGTGAATAGTGTTTTTTTTAAAAATAAAAAGTTATATTTATAAATAATAACGTAAATATCATGAACAATAACAGTGAACAATGTCTATAAATAGTATATGAACAATAATTTTTAATAGTAAAATAAAATTGATTATTGAAATATAAAAAAAATATTATAAATTGATTAAGTTGGTTAATAAACGCCATATACTACAAATAATATAGTAGTAAAATAAAGTTTGTTTATAAAAAGTAATAATGAATTGATTAATTAAATAAAGAAATTGATTAATAAACACTCATATATTAAAAATATTTTTAGTAGTAAAATAAAGTTGCTTAATGAAAAGTAAAATATTAGTTAATAAAGATATGAGACTGATTAATAAATATGTTGATATTAAAAATAATTTTTAATAATAAAATAAAATTGATTAATAAAATATAAAATATTATTTAATAAAATTATAAATTTAATTAATCATATCAATTTTATACCGGTATTTTTTAATTTAAAATAATAAAAATAAAATAAAAATTAATTTTTATATATTTTAAAAAATATATATTTATTATTATAATATTTCAATGTTCACCATATTACTGAATAGTAAAATATAATGTAGTATATATGTTTGTTATAAGAATAATATTTTTCTTAAATATATTAATTTTATGAATATGTTATATTTTTTTTCCTCTATTATGAAATATCTCTAAATTTGTCAATAAAAGTCAAATTCGAGTGAAAGATCGACTCTCTAATATCAAAAGTCTTTATAATATAATAGTGGTTAGGAGATATGTTCTGTTAAAAAAATATCAATAATAATATAAGAATATGTAAATAAAAAAGTTTCTAGTTTTTGTTTAAAGGGAAATATTATAGATAAACTCTGAAAATATTAAGAAAAACAAATTAATTGAAAATATTGAGAAACAAGTGATATGAAAGTCTCATATTAATTAAAAAAAATAAAGATTTAAAAATTTGGAATGAAAATTTGGTGTTTTTCCCTTAATATGTGGTTCTTAAAATAGAGGCTTCAATGTAGATGGGCTTTCATAATGACCCAAAAAATTGATAATCCAAGATAAGTAACTCTTGAAGCGCTAAACATTGGGATCAAAGAAGAAACATGAGGAATATAGTAGAATTTTAATCTTAATTCTTATTTATGAACAAATATACATTATAAGTTCTTAATTTGACTATTATGCCAGATGTACCCCGCAAGTAAAAGCAATGTTCAAGTGACAAATAGTGAAATATATGCTTTATTACACATATATATGTGGAAGAAATGCAAACACTATTGGTTTGTAGAAACTAATAAATGAAAATTGAAATTTACCTCCTAGCTAGTACCAGATCTCTGCTTTCTCTAGAGAGTTCATAATCAAGTATGCAAATCTTGATTTAGTTATGAAGTGGATTGGGTCCACCTGGAGTAGATGTATGTGAAACAATTTGAAATCTACTCACCTTTTTGTTTTTGAATTCTTCAAAGGTTTGTGGATAGGAAAATGGGAGATTTGTTCTTCTTCTTTCTTCCATCATCTCTTCTTTACCACCTAAAGAAATATGCCTAGAACTTGAAAGATGGAGTACTATTAGAATTAAGAAAAGGACAATAATGATTAATATTATAGCTTTATGAATTCTCATGATTCCAAATGACAATGGAGATGGAGGAGGTAAGTTAACTAAAAGTTTGACACTCATTGGAAGCATACAATATTGAAATAGAAATAAAATATAGTAAAATGATAGAAAACAATGAGTTCCCTATTTACATGACACTTAAAGATATTTAGTATTGGGATCGATAAATACAAATGTTAACAATCAATTTAGTGGTGCAGGGTGTGGACACTGATGATACATGAACCAAATTAGATCTCAATCATGCATGTACATGTCTGGTTGAACAATTGATGATCACTTGTCGTACATCGATGCCAAAAGGATTAAAAGTATTTAATGTTGCAACCGCGCACTCATAATTATAGTCCAAAAAGGCCCACAAGTAAATATGTGTTTGGAAAATTAAATGAACAATAAATCTCACATTCATATAATGCAGTTAATTTTAGGGATGTCAATTGTCAATAATGCAATCATTTGAACATTCTAGTTTTGATGTTAAATGAGTAATAATAACCTTCAAAGCTTAGTTAACGGTAGGGATGATAAAATGAGTTGGACTTATCGGATTGATTCATTTGATCCGTTATTTTTATAGACTAGACTGAAGTTTTCGGATTAATATCTTAAGTTGGCCTGTTCCGTTTAATCCGCTTTAAAAAGCAGACCGAGACGGGACAATGCGGGTTTTCCCGTGAGTTTTTTGTTAAAATTTTTACTCTTTTTATTATAAATTAAAAACAATTTTAACTATAAAAACAATACTATCTCTTAAGATTATATTATAAATTATTATATAAACAAATTGAATTATAATTATAACGTTCATTCTATAACTTTCTAATACATGCGTTGATTGAAAATGATTGAAATAAAAGAACAAATGTATGACATGTATAATTATTAAGTTTTCAATATATTAGCTCAAATATTTTTTTTTTACAAATAGATGTTGATTTTAAGAAAAGGGAGAATTTGATTAGTGTATACGTCTGACAAATTTAGGATTTAACTATTGAAGAATCGGTCAATATAAGAGTCTATATAATGTAAACAATGAGAAAGTTCGATGTTGATATTTTACGCATTACTATTTTATGTATTGTGATGTTTTATGCAACGTTATTGTTATTATTATTGGTTTTGTGTAAATTCTAAATTGGGTTCTTTTAGTAGTTGGTTTTTAAATAGGATTAGGATGATATTTATTGTTTATTTATTTTGATATTTTTTTATTGTGTTTGAGTTTATTTTGTTTTTTTTTGTTGTAATTGATCTTTATTTATTAAATTTTTTGAATTGTTTGGACTTAAGACATCTTAGAGTTCTATTATGCGTTGTTAAAAAAATTTCTTTATCGATCTCTTTGGTAATAATTAAATTTTTTTTAAATTATGTATTAAATTAAATTATAAAATAAAAAAATAAAAAATTAGCGGGCCGGCCCGCCAACTCGTTAGTAAACGGGGCGGACTTGACTTTTGAGCTTGGACCCCTACGTTGGTCCGCCCCGCCCTGTCCCACATTTGGATGGGCTTAAACGGGGCGGGCCTAAATAGGGCGGATCGCTCGCTTTGCCACCCCTAGTTAACGTACACCTCCGGACATATTTATAAGTAGTAATTTTTTTTATAGATTTATTGAATAAATTATATATCCAGTCATTATTATATATTAAATATATTAATTATTCAATGAATCTAAAAAGTTTTTTGTTGCTTATAAATGTGTCCGAAGGGTGTAATTATAAAGCTGTAACATATTAGACAAAACCTGTGTCACACATGTGTTAGTTGGAAAATTTGAAATGGGATGTAGAAGATCAAGAATCAAAGACTAAGTTATTTTTGAAAGAAATGTCTTGTGAAAATCGACTATGTCTAAGTGGACGGTCGAAAATCAATTGCATAAAGATTAAAAGAAGTCTTTGTTTTAAAGGAATTCGAAATATTTAAAATTCGAATTTGATTGATTATGTTGAGTTTTGGTGCTCTCCGCAATAGAAGGATTCAAAATTCAAGTTTTTTGATCTAATCCAAAAGACACGTGGAGGTCTAGTAGTTCAAAGAATTTACATGTCATAAACATGACATCTAGATGTAGAAAGACCGTTAAGGTCGAATTAGTATATATAGGGGTCTTAGCGATAGGATTCATGTGTTCATTCATTTGTACAAAATCTCACATAAATTCAAAGTATCTGTGTATTGAGAAAAGAGTCCTCTGAGAAATGTACGTGTAAACACCATCTTTTATTTTAATACAAGTTATCATTCAAGAAATTTACTTTTAGCAATTTACTTTCAATTGTTTTTATTGCACTTTCTTTACAAGTTTCATAGGCTTACTTTAGAGAGTTATTTAGATCAAAACCAATCTTATCGGAACACTATGAATGTTGTTGAAGTATTTTTCGTTTCAAAGAACAAAGTTTGAATAAGAACACATGCCCTAGGATCAATCTAGTCGATCTTGCGAGTAACTAAGGACTTTTCGTTGTTTTAGAAGACTAGCATTTATTTACCAATTTTCACGGTAAAAAAATTGGCATGCCCAATGAGACCGTGTTCATTTAAAAAATATTTTTGGTCTTGTGAAAAGTTTTAGAAAATCTTTATCCTTTTCTTGTATTGTACTTCGTTGCATGAGACTTAGAAGTGGTAAATTAGCCACAAACAACAAGGAAATACCCAAAATAAAATACATTAGAAAAAAGGAAAACCAAAGCCAGCCAAGTAATCAAAATCCTCCTAACAATGATGAACCACCCCAAGTCACTTCGATAGGGGAACAACGGGTTCTGCGCCCTATTTAGAGGCACTACCGTCTTCAACGGGTACGACATCAATACAGTTGAACGCTCGTAGTAGCCATATTTTGACTTATATAGGACCACATGGTCCCCCATGGACCCCCCCCCCCCCTTCCAGGGGGAAATGCGTTCCATAGGGCCTCAAGGGCCTCCTGGTTTTTCTATGCCACAAAATGGTCGCGAAAGGCCCTATGGCATGCCATCATCATTTATGGCAGGTTTGCATAATTCCACTTCAACTTATTCAGATCCTGTAATGAATGTTATTTCGTCATTGCAAGATTATGGGTCTGCTATTAATAATATGGATCGAACTATCCAACCCCATGGAGAGGGATTTTCTTCCCAAATGCCAAACTTGACAAATCACTCTACAACAGTAATTAGACAGAAAGTGGATGAAAGTAATCATGAAATAGTCCAAATGCTTGCACAAACCATGAGTATAATTTTTAATCCTTTAATTCAAAACACCACTCAACTGAACCAACAAATGGCAGCGCAAATGACACGCGTCGCTGAATTCTTTGGTGTGCTTATTATAACCGGTTTGAAAATTGAGAGTCGTCGCCCTGAATTTTTATCTTAGGAAGAGAATATAAAGGATAACCCTAATTTTATCAGAGATTCTAAGTTGTTTGACTCGTTCTTAGACGAAGGGAAGGTGTTAGGCACCCCTCATCTACCTTGTTCACAAGGATACCAGGGTTTAGAATTATGGCTTAGGAAATAGGGTTTTAATTTTTATTAAGGGAAGTTGCCACGATTTTTAAGTCGTATGCATATGTATCATCTTATGAGGAACCAGAGTCTTAATTCGTAGTTCGTAGTTGGTTGGTGTTTTTTATTGATTACGAAGATGTTTGAATTTCTCTTGTACTTAGTCTGGGTGTGTGAATAGAGGAATTATTAGACGAAGTGTGTGGTCGATTAAAATATTTTCATAATTCTTTTTGGAAATTGATTTAGAGTTAATTTATTATGAAAAAGAGTTTAGTATTGATTAAGAATTTTTTAATGTATTAATGTATAAAAATATCTTATTAATGCATGATTAAAAATGATTTTAATGCAATAAATAAATATTTGAATGAGTTGGAAAATGAATATTTGATTTTATAACATAATAGAATGATAATAATAATTTATAAATATATTAAAATATAAAAAGTAAAAATTATAAATAATAAAAGGAATTAAATTAAAACGCAAGGGGGGTGTAAATTGTGTTGGGCTAGCAAATAGGGAGGGTATAGGTAGTAGGGCTCTGAATTCAGATGTTGAATTCAGGCCCAAACGCCAGGAGGTGTAGATTTGAACTACGTAGTAAAAGTTGGGGGCGTATGGAGTAAGGGTCCAAGTCCAGATGTTGGACTTGGCCCATTAGACTGATGGGGGTGTGATCCCTTAATGCAGTAGAAAAACAAAAATAGAGGGGGTGGTTTTAGCAATGGGCCTGGCCTAAAGGATGTTTGGGAGTCCGTTTGGACTCCATGCGGACGAGTGCATGGTAATACTATAGGCGTGCGTTTCTGGGATGCTTGATGTGGATCATGTGGTTATAATGGAGGGTGCATGGTAAGGCGCAATGCACGGGATTGCAAGACATTTATATTTTCTGTTTTCGTTTCAAGTCACTCATTTTCATCTCTTCTTTCTCTTACTTCTTTCTATTTCCTCTCGCCTCTCTCTTCTAAACACAACAACCATACAAAAACCATAATCACCGCCTCTCCTCACAAAACCTTATAGGCGGCGATCGTCCAAAATTAAAACCCTATCCCAACTCAATTTACCCCAACAAACCCCAATCGTGACAATAATCAACAAAAAAACACAAAAGTTAGGTTTCGTTACCTCTGATCGTGACTGTTCTTCAAGCCTCCTCTGTGTAACTCTTTTTTTTATCTCTTTTCTTTTGCGTTTGACAGGTACTGAACGATGGTGCTGGAGGGAGTAGCGGCGGTGCAACGGAGAAGAGCTAGGGTTTTAGATGTTGAAACCCTAAGCTTACATGGAGCGGCGTTATCAGAAAACTCACGACGGTAGTTGAATCTCTTTCTCCTTCTTCCGATCTCTGTAAAAAAATTATTTTTTCTTTTCTCTTAGAGTTCTTAGGCTTTTATAGCGTTTAGGTTTAGATGATTTAGGAAGGTTTTTTATGATAGTTGTTACTAACATATTTGATTTAGGACTTATTAGTGAGTTAGGGATTTAGAGATTTGTTTTGATTTGGTTGTAATATGTATAATAATTTTTTGATTCTGTTACGATT